TCTGACTCCCCTCCTGCCCCTGGGACTCCTCCCCACTTGGGGAGGAGGACCCGAGGAGGATCGGCGCCCCGGAGAAGGACCGGCGTGGGAGAGGAGGACCCCCAGAGGCGATGCGAATCTGACCCCCCCGACACTCGGGACCCACCCATCCCGCCGGGGAAGGGACAAAGGGAAGGGACGTCCCTTTGACGTAGGGAGGACGTGGGTGGAATCCCCTCAAGCTGCGAACCCGTTCCCCGAATGAGGAAGGGCGCTCTCTCTCTCTCTCTCTTTCTCTCCTTCTTTCTCCCCCGACAGGACAGGAGGACGGGAAGGATGGGACGAAAGAGCGCTCCCCGTCGACGGGACCGGACAGACACCCCACACACGCCGACATGGTCGGCGGATTCCCAAATCGCGCTCTCGCGTGGGACTTGCAATTTATTCAGGCGCCTCGCCCTCGACACTCAGAAATCACGCTTTCGCTGGGGATTTCCTGACGATTCATGTGGGAATCGCGCTGCCGCTCGAGACTTCCCTGGGAGTCATGCAGGACGCACGCTTCAGCAACCCGCCTGCTCGACCTGGCCGTCTGGGCCCGCCTTCCCGACCTGCCCATTAGGGTCTACCTGCCCGATCAGTCCGTCTGGTTATGCCACGTGTTTTCTGCCTTTCGCCCCCCTCCTGGTACTCTCTCTCGTGCTCCATCCTCCTTTCTCCCCCTGGTCCCTTCCGTCCATCCATCCTCTCTTCCCCTGCCTTAGGGGCTGCACTCAATGCGCGTGGCAGGTAAGAAAGATATACACCTGATGGGGGTGCGATCGAAGACGAAGAGGGCGGGCATCGAGGATATGGGATATACATGTTACATCGCTTGCGCGCAGATAAGAGCGAACAGTCTTGAAATTATTGCTGTTGTTGTTGCTGTTGCTGTTGTTGTTGTTGCCTTTGCTGTTGCTCTTGCGGTTGTTGCGGTTGTTGTTGTTGTTGTTGTTGTTGGTGTTGTTGTTGTTGTTGTTGTTGTTGTTGTTGTTGTTGTTGTTATTCTTGATGGTATTGATTTTATTGTTGTTGGTCATGTAGTAGTAGCAATAGTCGTAGTAGCAGCAGTAGTAGTAGTAGTAGTAGTAGTAGTAGTAATAGTAGTAGTAGTAGTAGTAGTAGTAGTAGTAGTAGTAGTAGTAGTAGTAGGAGTAGTAGTAGTAGTAGTAGTAGTAGTAGTAGTAGTAGTAGTCGTAATAGTAGAAGAAGTAGAACTCGTTGTTGTTGTTGCAGGTGCTATTGTTGTTGTTGTTGGACAAGGCGAATTTGAGGGTCGCCTTCCCCCCAGCAACCCAGCAACCCAGCAACCTGAGGATTCCCGAAGGGTTCCTGAGGATTCCTTCGGGATGCCTTAGAATTCCATGGGATTCCGAGGGATTCCCGAAGATTCCTCGGCGATTCCTCAGGATTCCGACGGTCAACCCGTCGCCTCGGTCCGCCGTCGCCTGAGAGAATGATCAAGATGATGATGATGATGATGATGATGATGATGATGATGATGATGAGGAGGATGAGGAGGAGGAGGAGGAGGAGGAGGAGGAGGAGGAGGAGGAGGAAGAGAAGGAAGTCGAGACGAGGAGGAATCCACGTCATGGAGCCCTCTTCGGGACATCCCGGTACCATATTGGAATTACCCCCGGACGATCCTGAGGTCATTGTGGGGTTGTCTTAGTGTCATTTTGGGGTTACCGTGGGTTCGCCATGAGGTCAAGTCGCTGCCATCGTGGGGGCATTTTGGGATCATCTTGGGGGCATTTTGGGGCTATCTTGGGGACATCCTGGACCACGTTGGGGTTATCTTGGGATTGTCTTGGGGGGATTGTGTGGTCATCTTGGGGGCATCTTGGCATCAAATTGGGGTGATCTCGGGGGCATCTACAAGGCTTCCCAGGCTTCCGACAACTCTTACAATGACTCATACTAGGCCTCATTACAGGTCTCCTACAAGACACGGTCACCCCGTCGCCTCGGTCCGCCGTCGCCTGAGGAAAGGATAAGGAGGAAGAGGAGGAGGAGGAGGAGGAGGAGAAGGAAGTTGAGACGAGGAGGGGTCCACGTCTTGGGCCCTCTTCGGAACATCCTGGTGCCGTATTGGAATTGCCCCTGAACGAACTTCAGGTCATTGTGGGGTTGTCTTAGGGTCATTTTGGGGTCACCGTGGGGTTTTCTTGAGGTCATATCGATGTCATCGTGCAAGCTGGCAGCTGATGATCTGGAAGCCAGCTGATGCTCAGACCCGTTGCAGTGTCCTACTCTTTTTTCGTGCAAGCTCCGTAGCACATACCTTCAAACGAAAGCGGGGGCGCCCCCGGACGTATTGGATTGAACCAGTCTTTGCACACGCTGTCTGGGCCGCGGGGGGTGAGGAGGCCCTGCCGCAGCTCTGGCTAGATAGTGTAATTTCTGCCGCAGCTTGGCGCGCAGCCGTGAGGCTGTCTTGCGACGCCCTGCTTCCCAGGCTTCTACAATTCCTATTCGGCCTCCTACAAGGTTTTCCGTCCTTCACTTTCCCCTCTAGTTGCCCCTCCCTGCGCGGCTGTAGCCGTCTTGGTATCTCTCGTGGAGGCATTACGTGATCATCTTGGAGGCATTTTGGGGACATCCTGGGGCCACATTGGGGTCATCTTGGGGACATCTTGGTATCATCTTGGGGACATCCTTGGACCACATTGGGTGATCTTGGGGGCATCTACAAGGCCTCCCAGGCTTCCGACAAGGCCCTTACCAGGCTTTCTACTAGGCCTCCTACCAGGTCTCCTACAAGCACGTTCACCCCATCGTCTCGGTCCGCCGTCGTCTGAGGAAAGGATGATGGTGATGATGATGCTGATGATGATGATGCTGCTGCTGATGATGATGAAGATGGTGATGGTTGAAGTAGTGGTAGTGGTGGTGGTGACGATGATAGTCTCCTACTATGTCTCCTCCCAGGTCTCCTACAAGAAGCGGTCAACCCGTCGCCTCGGTCCGCCGTCGCCTGAGAGAAAGATGCAGATGATGCTGATGATGATGATGCTGATGATGCTGATGAGGATGATGATGATGATGATGATGATGATGATGACGATGATGATGATGATGATGATGATGATGATGATGATGCTGCTGATGATGATGATGATGATGATGATGATGATGATGATGATGATGATGATGATGATGATGATGATGATGATGATGATGATGATGATGATGATTATTATGATCATGAGGAGAAGGAGTAGGAGGAGCACAAGGAAGTAGAGACGAGGAGGAATCCACGTCATGGGGCCCTCTTCGGGACATCCTGGCGGTACCATCTCGGAATTGCCCCCGAACGATTTTGAGGTCATTGTGGGATTGTCTTAGGGTCATGTTGGGGTTACCGTGGGTTCGCCATGAGGTCAAGTCGTTGCCATCGTAGGGGCATTTTGGGATCATCTTGGGGTCATTTTTGGGCCATCTTGGGGATCCTATTGCAGCTTGTAGGGATCCTTTTGCAGCTGGTAGGATCCCTCGTAGGGATCCTATTACAGCTGGTAGGACCCCTGTAGGGATCCTATTGCAGCTGGGAGGATCCCTATAAGGATCCTGCTGCAGCTGGTGGGATCCCTATAGGGATCCCATGACAGGCAGCCAGGAGGATCCCTATGAGGATCCAAATGCAGCTGGTGGAATCCCTGTTGGAATCCTAGGACAGCTGGTCGGATCCCTGTACGGATCCTATTGCAAGTGGTCGGATCCCTATCGGGATCTTATCGCCGCTGGTAGGATCCCTATAGGGATCTTTGGCGGCTAGCTGGATCCCTGCAGGGTTCCTATTCCATATGAGAGGATCCCTGTAGGGATCCTATTGCAGCTGGCAGGATCCCTATTGGGATCTAGTAGGATCCTTATCGGGTTTCTGTAGGACCCCGATAGGGTCTCTGTAGGTTGGGTTTCTCTCGGATCTTTATAGGGATCTTATTGCAGCTGGGAGGAACAGTGCAGCTTGTAAGATCCCTACAGGGATTCCATGACAGCTGGTCGGATCCCTATAGGGATCTGGTTGCCGCTGGTAGGATCCCTTTACGGACTGTCTGGTAGGATCCCTATAGAATTCATATGACAGCTGGTAGGATCCCTGTAGGGGTCCTGTTGCAGCTGGTAGGATCCCTATACGGATTCAACTGCAGTTGGTCGGATTCGTATCGGGATCCTATGACAGCTGGTAGGATCCCTGTAGGGATCCTGATGCAGGTGGTAGGTTCCCGATATGGATATAATTGCAGTTGGTAGGATTCCTATAGGGCTCCTGTAACAGCTGGTATAATCCTTGTAGGGATCCTATTGCAGCTGGTAGGATTCCTATAGGGATCCTATTGCAGCTGGAAGGATCCCTACAGGGTTTCTGTCGGATTCCTATTCGGGATTATGTAGGATCCCTATAAGGTCACTACAGGAATCTCATAAGGTCACTACGGGGATCTCATAGGCTCTTATAGGGCCTCTATTCGGATCCCATGGGAGTTCCCATGGAAGTCTTGGGTTAGCGCAGGACCGGGGCCTCGCCAGAGAAGACATCGAAATCCGAAGTGGGTTTCCTCCGGAGGCCTTAGGGAGAGGATTTCCTTTTCTTTTGGGTTTGGTTGCTGGGTTGGTGGGTTGCTGGGGGGGGGGGTGCTAGCCACGCGTCCTTTTCACCCGCCTTGCCTATTGTAGTCAAGGCGGGCAAGGCGTACGCAGGGCACGCGTCCCTCATGACCGCCTTGACCTTGTTGTTGTTGGTGGTGTTGTTGCTGTTATTGTTGTGTTTGTTGCTGTTGCTGCTACCATTGTTGTTTTGTTGTTGTTGCTGTTGTTGTTGCCGTTGTTGTTGTCGTCGTCTTCGCCTGCGACCAACCCACCCGCGACCCATCCCCCGACCCACCCGCGACCCACCAGCGACCCACCCCGCGCCCGCCTTCTTTTACTCTTCTCCACAATTGCGGGGTGCTACGACATATGTTTGTCCCCCCCAGGTGTTCGCGGTAGCAGGAGCGGCAGCAGGAGGTTGGCCGTCGACGCCTCCAAGATGCCCCAGGACGACGGGCAGGGGGACGACGAGGCGACGGTAGGCATCCGCGGCAGCAAGAGGCTGGCTGTGGACGCCTCCAAGAGTCTTCAGGGCGATGATGCCGAGCTGATCGAGATGGCGCAGCGCTACCAAGGGATGCTGCGCGACCACACGAGGCAGAGTGCAGGACGGGCGCAGGACAGCGTGCAGAAGTCCCCGTCGTTGAATAGCAGGGACAGGGTGCAGGACCTTTTCGACGAGGATCTACCGGAGGACCTCGCGGAGCTGGTTGCCACGATGAGGTCGATGAAGTCTCTGAAGCCGGCGCACCCGTCAGGAAGCGCGTCGGGCAGCGGGCCGGTTGGCGGCGGCGCCGATGACGAGACCGACCTGGAAGAGATCCTGGCCGCCATCAAATCGACCAAGACGCTTCACCAGGATTTGGGCTCGAGCTCAGGCTCAGGGGCGGCCTAACCGACCCCTAGCAAGCCATCCCCTTCCGTGACGTCCCCCTCGCCTCGCCCCAAGACGTATGTATGCGGCCGGAGGAAAGCTTGAACGGCGAGGGTGCCGTCACGGAAGGGAACGGTGTGCCAGGGATCGGTCGGGCCGCCCTGGACAGGCGGAGGCACCAGCGTGGCCGGCAGGCTCAAGATCCCCACGAGGGCGACCATGGGGCCCTCCGCCTCCAGCGTGAACACGGTGAAGGAGACCGAGGCCGCGCTGGCGTTCCTGGAGGCGAAGGCCGGGCCGGAGGAGATGGCCAAGGTGATGTCTGGCGCGGCCGGGGCGCACAAGTCCACGAGCGGCTCCTTGACCGACACGGATGCCGCGCTGGCTTTCTTGGAGCAGGCTGGCTTTGGCGACGCCTTCGCCTCCCAGCCGCCGCCCCCGTCGCAGCCGAACACCGCAGTGCCCCGCGGGGCCTTCCCCGCCTTCGATCGAAGCACGACGAAGCTCCTGGACCCTGTCGCCGAGGGTGCTCCGCTCGAGGTGATGCCCCAGGCTCGAAAGAGCCAGCAACAGAGCCTTACGACTCCAGAGACCATAGACAAGCTCCAAGCAAGGCAAGATGCCGAGAAGGCCCGTCAAGGACTCGAGAGCCTTTGGACTGGCAAGGCTGGTCATGAGCAGCGTGGTGCAATCGAGGCCGGGGCGGCGGCGCTCAAGGCTGGCCAGGCGAATCGGATGGCGCACTTTGGCGAAGACGAAGTGGACGAGTCTGGCGGCGGCGAGAGCGCGATGAACAGGGCGAGGTCCGAGCTAACTCAGGCGCTCGACTTCGTGGAGAGTGTTGGGGAGGATTATTCCCCTGAGCGCTCCAAGGGCTTACAGATGGGCAAGACCAACACCTTGAAATTCGAGTCTGCCCTGAGATCCTTGGAGTCCGAGGTGGCCGATGACGCGGAGGTGCCAAGTACGCCTGACGTGCCCCCTGCTCCGCGCCGTGACACGTGGGCGACGCCTCCGAATGTGGCAGTCTCGGCTGCCGCGCCCACTTCGCCGCGACGCGACACGTGGGCTTCGCCGCCAGAGTTCAAGCCACCGTCGCCGCCGCCTCTGCAGTCCGTGCATCAGGGTGCCGATCAGTCTGCCACGGTGTCTCCGGCACTGAGTCCGAAGGGACACCGGCGGTCGACCATAAACCCCAAGACCGGAACCAAGATGCTGCTGCAGAATGCGCCCGCGAGGCCTGGGACGCAGTCAAGCCCTCGCGAGTCTCTGCATCAGACTTCCCCTCGCCCGTCCGCCGGCGGCATGGTGGACCCCCTCGACATGTCTTCGGGGCGAAGCAAGCAGCCGCTGCAGCCATGGACCGAGGCGGATGCGGACATGTCTCGGTCGCGGCAGCCGAGCCGGCTGAGCAGCAACGGCAGTGCCGCCTCGCTGCGCAGGAGCTCGTTCGAGGCGCAGCGAGGCCCCAACGCCAGGGGCAGCGCAGCTCATTCGAACAGCCCCACGCGGCAGCGCCGCAACTCGGCGGCGGAGCCGCTGCGACGCAGCGACACCTCGTCGGCTCCTGTGCCGCAGGCGCGCGAGGGCCGCCGCCTGAGCTTGGCCGGCGCCTCGACGGCACTCGGCGTCGGCCCGGGGGAGGCGGCGGCCGCCGCTGCCGCCGCCCACGCAGCGACTGGGGGGCAGGTATCGCAGAGCAGCACGAGCAGTCCGCCAGCCCGCCGCACGAGCATCACCTCAGGGCGGCCGTGGTCGGCGGCGGAGAACCAGGCGACGAGGCAGGCCAGCGACACGGGGAAGGCGACCCAGCCCGTCCGCAGTACCCAGCGGTCGTCGACACACGGTGCGAGCAGTGTGACCGTCCAGTCACCGCCAACGCGCAGCCGCGACGCTACATCGCTGGGTGCCGCTGGGGACCAGGCGGCAGGGCCACGCAAGGACGCAGAGGAGGTTCATGAAGGGAGCCGTGGGTGCTACAGAGCTCCAGACTCTGAGTCCTCTGCGTCCGGAGACTCGGACGTCTGCTTTTGAGGAGGAGGAAGAGGAGGAGGAGGAGGAGGAGGAGGAGGAGGAGGACTCTGCTGGACTCTGCTGAGCGCCGCGAAGCGGCCGATCAATCACAGTCATCCTCCACCACTGACGCTCCGCCCCGCTGCTGCCCAGGGCCACCGCTGCCGCACATCAAACGAGGCCACGCCGCCACCTCCCTCAAGGCAGCGGCGGCAGCAGGCGGGCCAGCGGCAGCAGCACGGGGCGCCTCGTCGTAGCGCATGGTGGCCGCCGTGTCGCTCGGGTGGCGTCTCGACGCCACTCTCAAGTATTCATCTATCAAAACATGGTCAGACTCCCTCCCCTCAGCCTCCGAGCCTCGAGTCGGTGAGGCTTCCACCAGGGGCCCGCAGGCGGGGAGGGAACATCGCACAGCATCATCAGTCTGAGCAGCCGTCACAGACACGGGTGGGCCACGATAGCTCGGAAACAACCCTTTCTGAATTCTGCGCAAGTTCTCCCCTCCTTTGCGGGTGGGGGGGGAGCACGCAACAGACAAGTGTCTGGCATCCGCAGTGGCCGTGCGACCACAGGTCATGCAGAAGAAAAGACCAAAAGCTTTCATCTTGGCGAGCTGGTGGCTGGAGTGCAACAAAACTCCACCAACTCGCACTTCGCCAGAGGCCGCCTCGAAACCCTCACCATACTCCGCAGGCAGGCCAGTCTTTTCCGCCGCGTCCAGCTGCGGGGCGAGAGACCGACCAACACATTGGGTCGAGGCGACCTGGAAAAGCCTACTACGCGGGATAATATCCTTGCACAACTTACACCTCCAGCGCCCCGCAAAGGGGACAAAAACATGGGAGCTCCTGGCCAGGGCCGTCTCCAAACGGGTTGGCCTACGCTGCTGACGCTCGCGGGCAGGTCTCTCGCCGACCCAAGGTTCGACCTCGAGCGCCATCAACAGAGCCCTCCGAGCTCTGAGCCTCACCAGTGCCGCCGTCGTGTCCCACAAATCGGTACGGGGAACAGGGGGCGACACACCCCACTCCCAGGCCCATTGGGCCGCGGCTCCAGCCCAGGCGTCGGCACAGGCGTTGCCCAGGCTCAGGAACAAATCGAATTCAGTCTTGACCAACTGTAACTCGTCCTCCCTATGGGAGGGGGTCCACAAAACAGAAACTTCCCCAGGGCCGCGGGTCCTCAAAGCGGTGCCGACACGGACCCAGAGATCCCCGTTAAGGCCCCGAGGAAGCTTGGCACGTCCGTTGTGCCAGTCAGCAATCAAACTCTTACAGTCGGTCACGTAGCAGATCGGTCCCCTCGAGCTCTCAAGGGCGAGACAGAGGGCCTGCAGCTCAGCACGCGGGACAGTTTGCTTCCTACCCGAGAGAATCTGAGCCGCCCCGCAAGCCGGGCTCCAGAAAGGCGACGAGGCATCCTGACACATCACCACGATAGCCGAGCCGCAACGCCTCCGACGGGGATCCGAACTGTGCTCGCCTCCTGAACCGTCCCCAAAAATGAACAGGGGGGGAGCTCCAGGGGCCACACAGTGATCCAGCAAAGCCCCCTCCCCAAGAAGGACCTTTTGGGCCGCCTCAGAGCTCTCCACAAACTTGGGCACCACAAGGTCCTTCGGGGGCACTCCGCGAAGCCATAGCGCGGGCTGCGCGTCCAGGCTCGCGAGGGCTTGGGGGACCAGAAAGTCAGTCTTTGCAAAATCTTCGTGCCCGCAGTTAGCTGAGCACGTCCAAATACGGTGCGCTAACGTCTCAGGCTTTTCTTTACAACGGGGGCACAGCAGCGGGCAGGCATATCCTGCAGCAATCTGCCTCTCACGAGTCCACTGGCCGCCGCTCACCACGGCGACATCCGCCGACCACTCGTCGAACTGCATCCGCTTGGCGAAGCGGTTCAGCTCGATGGTCACAGTCGTCAAGTCGGCGCCGTCCGCCAGGTCGTCGCCAGCCGCATGATGAGAAGCTGACTGCCACTGCTGAGCAACACAATCATCCATGAAGGCGCCCAGCATGTCATCAAAGTGGGCCAGCACCGCCGTGCCGAACTGCTCGTCACCGAAGGAGGGGAAGATCCAATCATCAATCGTGCCGTCTGCTAAGGGCCGAGACCACACCAACGGCGACTGGGGATCCCAGCCCACTTGCAGCAAGGTCGCTTGCAGCGCAGCAATCGGGCCACGAACATCCTTCCAACGGACGGCCTTGCCACGCTTGAGTCTCGCCAACACGATGGGCCATACCTTGCAGATCCGTGGATGAAGACCAGGCTGTGCCAACCACAAGGCCACCCATTCACGCAGCAACTGACGGCGTAAATCGACACCAGGCTCCGCAGTGCCGTAGATAGCCTGCAGCACGGTGGTCAGGCACCGTCCCCGCTTCGTTCCAGCCACCGCTGCAGCTGCATCGCGTCGCAAGGCCAACAGCGTAGTAGGAGGGGTTCCCATCAGCTGATGACCAAAGACGGACGCTGGGTACACGCCTGTCGACCATAGCT